TGTGCTTGCTCAGGCCAGGGCATGAAGCAGGTGTGCCCATGCCCTGGGGAGCTGACGGGGGAGAAGAGACTCCTTTCCTCGAGGGTAACTGCCCCTGTGAAACGGGGTCCAGTAGGCAGCTCGGCCACCCAGTCGTCCTTCTCCAGGCAGGGGCTTCGTCTCCGGTCTTTCCCTGTTTCCTACAAAATGAAGCTGTGGGATTTCAAAACAGAAAAGCAGAAAGTGGCAAATGAAGGCAGGCTTTTCCGGGCATCAGCCGTTACCCTCTCACCCTGACGCGGTGATCTACCCTTTGTTTCTGGGAAAGGGTGGGGAGCAGACAAAAGGAGGCACTGCAGGGGGCTCACCCAAGCCTCTGTGGGGTCCCGTCCCCTGCCTCCTCCAGGGACAAACGCACGCTGTTGTCCTCCTTCCTTCTGCAGACGCCCCTTTGTATTTCGAGCAACATGTTCAACATCCAGAGCACACACCCACTCACAACACGTGTCCAGAGAAGGAGCTCAGGCAACATTTCAGCTCTGCATTCCAGTATTGATGGGAGGAAAAACAAGTTTCTGAAAATCAGACTTTCTAGCAGGACCCCCTGCTGTGACGGAAGCACGAGAGCCAGGCAGAACGGCCCGTTCCAGTATGCCATCGAGCCGATGATGGAAACCAGTTATTCCTAGGCAGCTGCACTTCGCATCTAGATTTGAGCAGATCTAAAGGTACTCAGTCGACAAAACGAAGGCAGCTGCCATTTGGGCATGTGCAGAGCAGGAAGGAACTACAGAGGGAAGACATTCACCAAACACTAATGGGAAACATAACGACACGCTTACTCAGTGAAGTTCACGCTTCTCCCAAGCCAGGCACTGTCGCTTCGCACCCGCGTTCAGCGTAGAGCTATCTCGTCAGTGGGGACTCATTCTTTGTGGGGTCCCCGGTGGACCCCAAGGAGTTGAAATCTTTCCAGATGGAAGAAAAATGGTATACATAAACATTTCATCAGAAGGAAATATTCTCCAAATGTGTCCCTTCTATTTCCTTGTTACTATCATAAAATTATGCCATGTTTCCTAAAACCTCTGCCTGCTCTGAACCAACAGCCTCGGGCAAGTTTTGTAGCAAACAGCAGTGTGTGCTGTCAGATTTAGCAACCAACACTAGGCTCGGTCACAGCAAATGTACGTTCCTCACTTTTTCACCACGAAGGCTTTTTGGCAGATGATGAACAGGTTTGTATCCTGGAGGTTTCATAAATCAAAAATCAAGAAAGTGTGTATGTAACACTTAATCTGCAATTGATCCTATTAAAAATGCAGCTGGTAATTATAGTGATTTTATTAGGAGACTCTCAAAGACCACGGTTCTGAGAACACTGGACCACAGGATTTTAGATCTGGGAGAGAGCTCTGAGATCATCTCGTCGAATGATTTCAGCGATGGCAACAAATGTTTGTTAAGACCCCTCTGTGGACTGGATACCAGGGCAAATACGTAAATGAATAAACTCAGTTTCTGCTCTCTGGGACTTCACAGTCAATAATGGGGCCTGTTTGGGGCTTTAGTAGGGGTGAAGAAGAGAGAGTCCTGGAGTAACTTAGCCTGTTGAAGAAATCAGGAAGGGTTGTGAGAGGTGATATCTGAGCTAGGTTTGAAAGAAGGAGGAGGAGTTGCCAAGCAGGTGGGTATGGGAGGAGCAAGTTCAAGGATGAGGATTCAGGTGCAGAAAGAGGAAGGACATGGTCAGGGCCCCGCAGCCATTGTTCGGTTAGCAGGACAAGACCTGGAGGCCCGGCCTTCTGCCTCTGTCCTGTGCTCCTGCAGAACCACAGGTAGGGCGCAGCCTCCAGACCTTCAGCCAGATGTAAAAGTAATCTTGCCTTACACTTGACTCAAAATTCTTATTTTTAAAAGAATATTCAAAATGCAACTTTCTAAGCCATTCTCTCTCCCTCCTCTCCCCCCGCCTCTCAAGTGTTTAGGAAGCCACTTCTAACTTACAGGTATGCATCAGACACATGGATTCTTCCAGGCAAAGCCAGTGCAGAGCAGAGGTACTCAGGGCCCTGGCTTGTGAGCCCCTCTCCTCAGGGACCCAGACCACTTTGCCCTGAGACGAGACATAGTCTGGATCAGACGCTTCTTGTACTTAACTCCACGCTAGTGTCAAAGGGTGCTCGGGTTAGAGGAACAGCACCGAGTAAGGAGAATTTTCCACCCACTCGCAATGGAACCACTTTTTAAATAGTTTCTAAGTTGATAATGGCAAACAGTGGGAAAAAGACCATTCTGGGAGTTTACCAGGCTATGAATTCCCCACCATCTCCCCACCCTTTCCCTCTCTCCGTGCCCAAGCCATTCTCCAAGCCCGCCTTCCGTCTGCTGGGTTTGCCCTATCGGCTGCCATCGCGCTGGCCCTCCGTGCTCCATGCCCTTGTCTGATGCCTTTTCTGCACCGCTGCCCTCTTAACTCATGACAGGCTCACAGATTTGCAGAACGGGAAGCAGTCCTCGGGGTCATCTCTGCCATCACCTTTATTTCACAGATGACAAAGGTGAGATGCAGAGATGGGACGGAAGTTGCTCTGGGTCACTCAGCGTGGCGCCCGAAGAATGGACCCCAGAACCAGGTTTCACTACCTCCGGGCAGAGCTGCTTCCCCGGGGCAGTGTTACCTCGTTCTCCCACGCAGGCTGCACTGTCCAATGGGCAAGACTTGTCTGACATGGTAACATCTCATTTCCCAGAGGCCTTAGCCCTGCTTCACGACTTCCCATTGTGGGCTAAGACGTGGCCGAATCCTTAGCTCCGCCGCGCCTCACCGGCCTTTTCCTCTCTTTCAGCTCTGGGTGCAGGCTCACTCTGAGGCCTGGGCGAGTCACTGCGCTTCCTCCGTGCTCTGTTTCCTTCTCTGTTCAATGAAAGCACTGGGCTAGATGCTCTCTTGGTCCCCTTTAAGCTCTAGCAGTTCTAGAATTCCCTGCCTTCCAGCCTGTCCTCTGCTATCTTCAGGACGGGCCTGGCCCTCCCCCAGCTCTGTCGCCTTGCTCATTCTCCTGGCGTCTGCTGGGGGTGGGCTCCTCTACAGCCCAGACAGCACAATCTTATTGAAGAAGACGAGGCTTGGAGCCCACAGGCCTGGGTTTGAATCTTGCCTCCGTGACATAGTATCTGTGTGGCTTCAGCAAACGACTTCATCTCTCAGCCACCTTTTTATTTATTTATTTATTTTTGCATTTTTTTAAAATTAATGTTTTAATTTTTGTTACAGATGTTTCTCCTTTTTCCTACACTGATACCCCCCTCCCCCAACTTCCTCGCCCTGTCCCCAGCTTTGTTGTCCATGTCCATACACACATGTGGTTTATCTCTCCTCCTCACCCCCTCTTCTGGGGATAGTCTGTACCCCACTTCCACGTCTCTGGGACTGCCCCATTCCTCAGACTGTTATGTTCATTATATTCCACAAATAAGTGAGATTATGTGATATTTGTCTTTCTCTGCTTGGCTTGTTTCGCTCAGGATAATACTCGCCAGGTTCCTCCATGTCGTCTCAAAGAATAAGAGATCTTTCTTTCTTACAGCTGCGTAGTACTCCATTGTGTATATGTACCACTGCTTTTTTATCCATTCGTCTACTGATGGACACTTGGGCTGTTTCCAGATCTTAGCTATTGTAAATAGTGCTGCTATGAACATGGGGGTACATATAGTCTTTCTGATTGGTGTTTCAGTCAGCCACCTGTTTAAAAAATAAGAAAAACAATATATGCTTTTGGGTTTGTTGACAGTGAAATGAGACAAAGTGTGTGGAACGACATGGCACAAAGAAGGCGTTTGCTATGTGGTGACTTCTTTCCTTTCTTCCACATGCAGCTTGTTGAGAAGAGGGCTTTTCCATGACCAGCTTTTCCAGCCGCGGGTTTACTACCTGGAGCTACAAAACACTGACTGACTTTTTTACTGAAATCTTTCTGAAATGAATTCTGTAGTTCCTCGACATGTCACACAGACAATCCCAAAGCATAAGAGAGAGTTAGCGAAAGGAGCGTCTTTGCGAAGGTGGGCATCGTAGCAGATGCTGGGGGTGCAGGTAGGGCACAGGGAATCTGAAAGGAAAGTTCTAGGCCTTTTGTTTATTTTTTTTAATATACGTTTTTATTGATTTTATTTTAGAGAGAGAAGGGAGAGGGAGAAAGAGAGAGAAACACTGATCAGCTGCCTCCTGCATGCCTCCTACTAGGTATGCCCACAACCTGGGCATGTGCCCTGACCAGTAATCGAACCCATGACCTCTTGGTGCAGGGGACAACACTCAACCAACTGAGCCACGCTGGCTGGGTTCCTATGCTTTTTCAGTGAGCCCGGATGTTTTCATTTCTCCCCCATCGAAGGGTTTTAAGTAGGATAATGTTTCAGAGCCATCACTCAGGCTGCTGGGTGGTGAATGAATCAGGGGAGGGAGGGAGCAACAGAGGAAGTTAAGGGGCCGGCCGAGTGGCTGTTGTGTTCGCCTGGTGAGAGACAGTGGCAACGTGGACTGATGGTCAAAAAACCAGAGATGGGAAGAGACAGGTTTACAAATGCTCAGTAGCTTTAAAAAACTGACTCCTGGAATATCAGCTCATTATGAGAAATATAGGAAACACAGGAACGTATAAATAAAGACCACAGGAATCGCCCAATCACCCAGCATCCAAAGATAACCACTGCTGACAAATTAAACTATCGTTCCCTAATGTTTTTAGCGAAAATTTTCTAACGTATTCGTGGATACAAATTTGATTTATAAAAAAAGTGGCTCAGGCAGACATTTTCCAGAACACCTCCCTTAGTGTCAGCTGGGAGGTACCTCAGTAAGAGTCAAAGGACATGGAATTTTTAACTCGGTGGGTTGCTTGCCCAGGACTGGGCTGGAAGAGCTCACACGTGTGGGTCCCGGGTAACCTGAGGCGGGGCTCCTGGGCCCCGGGGAGGAGTCTCTGTTTCAGCTCTGCTTCTCTTCTCTCCTCCAGAATCGGTGGAAAACTGCCCCAGCAACTGCTATGGCAACGGCGACTGCATCTCGGGGACCTGCCACTGCTTCCTGGGCTTCCTGGGCCCTGACTGCGGCAGAGGTGAGAGCTCAGTCTGGGCCTGATCTCCGCTCCCCAGGCCCCAGGCAGCTCGGGTTCCCCTTCTCCGAGCAAGTGCGGAGCTCAGGCCACCTCGCGAGAGGCGCTCCTGAGGGCCGTTCTGCAGAACCCTGAGCAGGAGGGCTGCAGGCAGAGTCGTGGCCTCCTCAGCCACGTGACCCCGGTGTGCAGGGCTGGGCAGGTCAGGAAGGAAAGGCCTTTTCAGGGACAGCCATAGTGAACTTCATGTCCCATTGTGGAGGCAGAGGGAGTGGTGTGGGGGTCCTTTGAAAAGTTAGACTCACCTTAGAGGAGCACTCAGCCTTTCTCAAGTGTCTAGCAGGGTTCTTGCATGGCTCCTGCGTGGTGCCTGCGTGGTTTCTATGTGGTTCTTGCGTGGCTCCTGTGTGGTTCCTGTGTGGTTCCTACATGGTTCCTGCGTGGCTCCTGCGTGGTTCCTGCGTGGCTCCTGTGTGGTTCCTGCATGGCTCCTGTGTGGTTTGCCTGGCCCTGTGGAGGGAGGCCTGATTTGTTGCTCAGTTACTGCATTCTAATAGCACAGGCAGAATCGTGGCTGAGACCACCATGGACTTGGAAGGCAAAGCTGCTCTTCTCTGCACAGGGCCCCAGTGTTGCTTCAGATTTGGGCACATACAGTGTAATGACAACCATCATGCGGTAGTTTAAAGCCTGCCCGTGATCTACCCTGTTCATTTGGCCTTCGTGTCTGCCCTGCAAGCACTTACAAGGAAAGCGCGAAAGGAGACCTGTAGTCCTGAGAACTCGGCACTCCCTCCGGGGGAACTCACATGGCCCTTCCTTTGGTTTTTCTGCCTCTTCGGTCTTTCAGCAGGCATTTGCTTTGTATCCTTTCAGGCTTGGTCCCGTGCTGGACACTGAGGTTACAACACTGAGCCTGCCAGGAGCTCTCTGTCTGGGAGATGGACAAGAAGCACCCTCGGGGGTCGCATGCAGGGGGCTCCTATCAGAGTGGAAGGGAGCAACTGTCTCAGCTTGGACAGGATGAGGACCAGGAAGGGCTCCCCAGATGAGAGGATATCGGAACTGAGACCTGAGGCTTGAGTTGTTGTTCACTGGTAGAAGCCAGGGGTAGCTTCCCAGGCTGAGAATACAGTGACGGAACACTGCTTTGGGGATTCCGCATCTTCTTTCTAACATGAAATAGACCCAGTTTGAGGCAGCAGAGCCTGCAGCCCCAGGAAGCGCGGTGATTACCTGCTGAGTGCTTTCATAGAAAGACGCCAGGGGGGGGGGGCCGGGGGAGGCGGCTTGGAGAGGAGAGATGAGTCATTCCTTCTAACAGGAGTTGCCGTCTCATCCCATAGGCACTTACAGTTATGAATCATGTATGAAATAGCCTTAGTGAATCTCACTAAGGCCGGTAGGTACTTACAGCATGCTGAAATATAATTTATTTTTATATAGTGTCCTTCGTACAGATGTTCACAAAACCCTTTACGCTAAGAGGCGGAATGGAAAGATAATACTTTCAAGTATTGGGCTCAGCTACTCTCTTATGGGGCAGGGGTGTGTAGGGATTGAGTGCAGGCCTGAGAGGCAAGGAAAGCGGAGTTAGAGCTGGGTTAAAGATGACTGAGTGGTGCTGCAGAGGAGGTGTGGGAAAGCGAAACGGAGTGGTATTGGAAGGAGAGTGTTGGAGGCAGGGAGCCCAGCTGTCTTCCAGTGAGCCCAAGGCACAGATTGAAGCTTCCTGTCTAAGGGTCCTGGCAACCACCACGCTGCACCAGTGACATGAGGGGGTGGGGGAGAGCAGCCTTCAGTGGGCACCAGCCCTACACGGCACACCTTCGCCTACAGCTCCAGATGTGTTTGAACAGGAATGAACTAAAACGAGAGAAGCAGACAGACGGGCGCAGGTGGGAATCGCGGCAGAGCACTTGAGGCTCTTGGGCAAGCCAGCCGGCCGAGGGGAGGAAGGGACAGCGGCTTCGACTCATGCCAGGCTTCCTGTGCTGTCTCCCCAGCCTCCTGCCCCGTGCTCTGTAGTGGGAACGGCCAGTACATGAAGGGCCGGTGCCTGTGCCACAGCGGCTGGAAGGGCGCCGAATGCGATGTGCCCACCAACCAGTGCATCGATGTGGCCTGCAGCCACCATGGCACCTGCATCATGGGCACCTGCATCTGCAACCCCGGCTACAAGGGCGAGAACTGTGAGGAAGGTAAGACGTATGTGCAGGCAGCCCAGCACCTTGCTTCGACTTAGAGGTCAGGGCACAGGGCCAGGGGGATGTCCAGGGATCTGAGGAAGCCCCCGTGCCACCCTGTGATCCCCACACCCGGAGCCAGGAACCCACCAGCAACAGTAATGAACCTAAAGAAAGAGGACAGACATGAGCGGTCCCCCTCACGCAGGGCACACACGTGTTGTAGCGAATCCTCACTGCGTACAAGGCTCTGTGCTAGAAGCCCTGTATGATTTAACTTCAGACCCCAGCAGGAAGAGGTAATCATCCGCATTTCACAGTTGAGGAAGTGAAGACCCTGAGAGTCAAATGTTTTGCCCAAGGTCACACAGTTAGTAGGTGGCAGGGCTGGGTTTGAGCCAGTCTTTTTGTCTCCACGGCCCAAGTTCTTTCCACTGCCCTTTAAGCTCATCCGCTCCCCATTTCTGAAGTATAGTGTATTTTAGACCTCCAGACCCTGCCTTCCATCTTCACACCCATGTATGTGTGTGTGTTCATGTATGTGACTCTCGGGCGCTCATATGCATGCCTCACTCCTTCATAAAGTAAGTACATGCCTGTAGCAGTCAAGGCTCGGAAGGGAACTGCGGGTATAACCGTAGCATCAGTTCTTTCCCAGGAAATCAAACTTGGTGAGATAAGTATTTGTATTTCACATATGAAGAAACTGAGGCCCAGGGCAGGGCAGTGACATCACCATGGTCAGAGAGCTAACGAGAGCAGGGTTGGGGTTCAGCCCAGGTCTTCTCACGTCCGATCCAGTCCCCTTTCCTCCTAGCTGCATGGAATGTCCAGATGAAGGGAGTCGGAGTCGCATGCAGCACCGGGTGGCTCTTAGGAGCGCACTCTGCAGTCACGTAGGTTGAGTCATGGCTCTGCCATTAACGAGCCTTGGTTCCCTCGTCTATAAAATGGGAATGCCTTCCTCCGAGGGCTGTTGTGAGGAGTGAATTAAATGACCCATGTAAGGCACTTAACTCAGTGTCTGACACATAGTAAATGCTCCATAAACGTTAGCTCTTATATTATTCGTGTTATAGTATTCTGGAGGCAACCGAAACATATTTCCTGTTCTACTCCACTTGTTTCATCCAAGGTCTTTTGAAATGGATGGACTTTGCCTTTGAAACTGAGCAATGAGCCCTGGCCAGTTTGGCTCAGTGGTTAGAGCGTCGGCCCGCGGTCCAGAGAGACCCGGGTTCAGTTCCCGCTAAGGGCACGTACCTCGGTTGCAGTTTGTCCCCGGCCCTGGTTGGGTTGTGTGGGTGGCAGCTACTCAGTGTGTCTCTCTCATGTCGATGTTTCTCTCTCTCTCCCTCCCACTCTATCTGAACAAAAAATGGAAAAATGTCCTCGGGTGAGGATAAAAAACAAAAAAGCAACTGAGCAGTGCTGCTGACAGTCGTTACCTCCCCTGCCCACCGTCCAGGGCCCATGCGCCTTCTCCGTCGTTTGGACGGAGCTCCAAGGAGAGCTAGTCTTCTGCACCCACTTGGGATTTAACAAGGAGTCCCCTCTCAAGGCATCATTTTCTCTAAAGAGAAAGGGGGGGACTATAATGGGCCCATTTTTAAAGAATGGGGAACAGGAAGAATTTGTGTCTGAAAAGCATCGCCTGAGACACACTGTCTGTAGACCCCAAGGGTGCTGGGAGGTCTGAGTCTGACCCATTCATGCCGAAGCGATGACTCTGGGCTGGGAGGGCTCGCGCCAGCCCCTCAAGGGCGCGGGCCAGCCCCTCCACAAAGGATGTGGCTTTCCAGCCCTGACCATGGCGACCTTCGTCTGCGTTCCCTTTTTAGTTTAGTCACTTGAGGTGAAGACCCCGAGAAGGAAAGAAAACAAAGAGGAGATTCCTCTTGGAAGTGCGGGGCCGCCCCCCCCCCCAACCCCGCCACGTTGTGTGGGCCACGGAGGGGGATTGTCCAGATCCACCGCCTGGACAGCGCCCCGGAGCGCAAGGGTACTTACAAAGGGAAAAAAGAAGCTGTTCAGCTCTTTGATTTACATTATCTGTTTGAAAAGAAATGTTTTTACTCCTGCTTTCTTTTCTGAGGAGGGCCATCTGGGACTGATTCCTTTTATTATTTCTGTTTCTCTGGTGAAGCACCAATGCGTAGTCCTTGTGTTTATAATGGGGTTTCGGGGGGCCTTTGCCCTCCCCTCTCCTGTCTTCCCTCCTCCCTCAACTCTGTTCTAACGGGTTTCACTGTGTTTATAAAACATCAGCTAACAAGCTTGCTCCCCCCACCCCCCACCCCTCTCCGGCTTCCTTCTTCTGAAGTTTATTAGCCTATATTTTTTTAAAGCCTGAACCACGCCAGCAGGACGCAGAGGGGATGGGGGAGGGGCGGAAGAGAACAACTTGGGCCTTTTGCAGTGAAAAGTCAGACCACTTCGGGTCCTGAAGAGCACCTCCTAGCCTGTGTGGTCACCGAAGCGTGGAACATTCTGGGGCGGGGGTTGTGCTCACAGCCTGGCCACGCAGGCCTCACCATTTCATTCATGGTCTGCGCTTCTTCCAGAAACGTTGGCTCCGATGCCAGGCTCTTCAGAGGAGAACACAGCACTGCTTGGCACCTCGTCTGAGGAGGAGCTAAGTGCGACTGTGCACACGAAGTGCGCCCGCCTCCCTGCCAGGTTCTCCAGTGCCCGCCAGCCCGCGCTTCCCCACCCGAGCCACCGCTCTTCCCGTTACGCACAGTTTCCTGCAAAATAAATACCATGTGGGAAACCATCCCAGTGTGATGGAAAGAGACCGCTTGGATTCTGTCCTCAGGTTCCCGTCACCCCAGCGGCCCCAGAAAGGCTCCCTTTGGCGGAGCGTCGCCGTCGCTGTGGCTTGGGTAATGGCCTTGAGCTTCGGACGGGCAGGGACAGTCCTCTGCAGGCAGGACTCTCAGCCATTCAGCTGCGGTGTCCTGGGCCACCTCCCCTCCAGATGCAGTCCTCTTTGTTTTTATCCTCACCTGAGGACATTTTTTCATTTAGCCTCAGATAGAGCTGGAGGGAGAGAGGAAGGAAGAGAGAGAGAGAGACATCAATGCAAGAGAGACACATTGAGTGGTTGCCACCCACACGACCCCAACCGGGGCCGGGGACAAACCACAACCAAGTTACGTGCCTTAACAGGAACTGAACCCGGGTCTCTCTGGACCGTGGGCTGACGCTCTAACCACTGAGCCAAACCAGCCAGGGCAGATGCAGTCCTCTTAAAACTTCCCTGGAGTTCCACCCTCACTCTGCCAACTTGACCTTCAGAAGCCATGATGAATCGATGACGAAAGGCCTGGAGGTAGCCTGGCATCTGTCCCTTCTGATCTTTCCCTGCCAGAACCATCTTCTGAGAGCGTGGGATTCACTCTGCTGGCTCCCGGGTCCCCAGCAGATGTATTGTGTCTGAGGCGAAGCAGGACTGTGACGCCGAGGGCCTCGTGCCAAACTTGGCACCCTCTCGGCTTGCTCCCTAACAGTGCAGGTTTATAGAGTCAACCTCAAGGGCACCGCAGAGACAGCTTCAACCCGAAGCTGGGGTCAGGTATTCTGGCAGCCGGAAATACCTTTATAGGTCTTGGGATAGGAATTGCTGACTCATTTCCTGTCAAATTGGAAAGCTCTCTGGATCTAGGGAGTTATCATAGTCGCCTAATGGGCTGGAATAATCCTTCTGAGATTCTGAGATCCTGAGGCAAGTCATGAAAATTTATCACTATTATTATTTTTATTCGTTCTAATTACCAGGCACTCCGACAGGTCATGCTTGAACCATTATTAAACAGTGTCCTGAGACTGCAAGAGAAGAGATTCTTTGCCTTCATTTGGCTTTATTATTTCTCCACTTTGCCCTATTTCTTTCCTTGGTTTGTTTTCCTATTTTTTTATTTTTTATTTTTTGGTACATACCCCTAGCAGGACTTGAACCCGGGACTCTCTGGTCCGCAGGCCGATGCTCCAACCACTGAGCCAAACCGGCCAGAGCGGTTTTCTTATTTTTTAACCATTTTATATGCTTATGTCTGTATATGTGTATGCATGTGTTTTTGAACTAGTAAAATTATAAAGGAAGTAGCAAGATATCTATACCAGCCAGGAGTGATTCAAATTTGAATGACCACTGTGTGATTTTGGACAAGTCATTTAACCCCTCTGTGCTTTAGTTTCCTCATCTGTAAAATGAGCATAATAATGGTATTTACCTCAAAGAGTTGTTGTTAGAGTTGAATGAGACTTTATATATATAGTTTAAGAGCAAAATAGCACAGGAGAGGAACCAAATTAAAATTAATTGTTATTGTTGCTGTTATTTAGCCGTGGTTGCTCTGGCCCCTGGTCTTCTTATTTATCATTTTAGGTCATTAAGTTGAACTCCTTTAAAAACCTAAATAGTAAAAGTGTTTTTTTTTAATAAGCTGGCCTCAAAATAAACAGCCTGTTCCCAGAATGTTGCCATTTGTAAAATCTGCTCATTTGTGTCTGAGACTCTAATATACCCATGCTGGGTTTCCCAGTCTTTTGTGCAAAAGTCAAATATACTGGGTTATAAAATTTAATAGATAAATAAAGTAAAAGCATGTCTGAATCATAAATGAGCTCTGACCACAGCTTGCTTAAGTCATGCTACTGCATATCCTGATGGGATTAAAAAACAACTATGTATTTCCAACAACTTACAGTTTATACAGTCCTTTCAAACCCTCAATGTCATTTGAGCCTCATAGCAACCGAGAAAAAGGTAATTTTACCATAGCTGCGTTATAGATGGACGCTCAGAGCAAGCTTGTGACTTCACCACGGTCATAGAACCAGTATGTTGTCCTGTGACCCTTGAACTTAGGACCTCAGAGGTCAGGTGCTGCATTCTCCCTCTGCAGCGCAGGGCTTCCTCGGCAGCTCCTCCAAGAGGAAACTGGCCATACTCACGGCAGCCCCTCCATGACGGTTTCCCCAGCAGCTACCTGTTAGGCTCCCTCCAGGACACCACTCTCCCCTTCAAATTGCAAGATGAATAGAATCCCCTACCACCCGCAAACGCAAGAGGGAAGACACTTTTTGCCTCAGTAGAGAAATGGACCGACCCCTTTGCTGGTTCTGTCTTCTTGCGGCTTTGCTCATTCCCTGTGCACTGGAGCCACGGGACAAGGGCGCCTCAGTACCTTCCACTTTTTCTCCGCAGTGCTTTACAGAAGGCGAGAGGTCCCCGCTAATTTTGTGCAGCCCCGTCACTAAGGCTTTGTTCAAGAAAATCAGCCACAGTAACGGAACTGTCGTTAGACTCAGGAGCAGACAGCCCCGCCTTCGGAGTCCTCTCTGGCAGGGTTTAGCTGCATGACCGGCATTGATCGTTTTGCTCTCTGAGTCTCAGTTTCCTCATCTTACCGCACTGGGTTATTGAGAAAACTGAATCTGATGAGGTATGGAAAGCACTTCCTGTCGTGTGCACAGAGAGCAGGTCACCTACAGCAGTATTCTCCTTTCCCTCTTTCTGGGTGGTGTCTCGAGACCACTTTGACCTTGGGCCCTACGGGGTTGCTGGTCTGTGAGCTACAGCTGCAGCCTTCACCCCCCACGTGAGGGCAAAGCCTCCACATACACTTTTGAATAGTCATTGAAATGCTTGTCTGGAAAGGGAGGTTTGAAAGTTCCTATCAATTTGGGGAAGATGGTAAAAATACGACGAAACTTAAATGTAAAATAAGTTCTCATCTACGGTAGTACCATATTCACACAACTAAAGCTGCATTAGGAGGGGCACTCAACAAGAGTGTGTTCTACAGGGATGTCTGGAGCACTCCTCTGTGCCGGGACTGTCCTCGGAGGAGACGCAACGTGTGCAGACAAAGCCTGGTCCTCACTGTGGCCCTTGCGGTGACAGACACAGTAGGCACCGGGTCTATGTGAATGCTTGAGACTTCTTTCTTTCTTTCTTCCTTTCTTTCTTCCTTTCTTCCTTCCTTCCTTCCTTCCTTCCTTTCTTTCTTTCTTTCTTTCTTTCTTTCTTTCTTTCTTTCTTTCTTGATTTGAGAGAGAGAAATTGATTTGTTGTTCCACTTTTTAAAATTTTGTCTTTATTGTTGAAAGTATTAAAGATGTCCCCATTTTTCCCCCATTGTCTCCCCACTCCCTCGCTCCCCTCCCCCAGGCCTTCACCGCACTATTGTCTGTGTCCATGAGTTTTACGTATATGCATATAACGTTTCTGGATAATCTCTTATTTATGCATTTATTAGTTGATTCTTGTAAGTGCCCTGACTAGAGATTGAACCCGCAACCTTGGCGTATCAGGACAACGCTCTAACCAACTGAGCTATTCGGCCAGGGCTTGATATATATTCCTTATCTGTCTACCTCTTAAACCAGGAAGTAGGAATCTGTATCCACATTTTACAGATGAGGGACCCAAGACTCAGAGAGGTAAACAGTCAGTCACCAGGTAGAGTTGAAAACCGGGTCTACCATTTGCTACAGTTACTGCTCTTCACTATACCACGTGGCCTCTCCACAGGAAATCTGTGCCCTTCTGCCAGAGTGTGTGAACCCCCTTGACTCGCTACAAGGTACAGTTCTTTCGTAAAGAAGCCTCGCCTTTGCTGTTCAGGTACTTACCTGTGTTCTCTTTCCTTCACGTCACAGTGGACTGCATGGATCCCACATGTTCTGGCCGGGGTGTCTGTGTGAGAGGCGAGTGCCACTGCTCCGTGGGATGGGGAGGAACCAACTGTGAGACGCCCAGGGCCACGTGCTTGGACCAGTGTTCGGGCCACGGAACCTTCCTTCCAGACACCGGGCTTTGCAGCTGTGACCCGAGCTGGACTGGACACGACTGTTCCATAGGTCAGTGGGACAAGAGGGGCACAGTGTGGGTGGAGGGAGGATGTGTCCACCGTGACGTGTTCACCGTTCAGCCCCGACAGTGCCTGGCCCTGCCCTCGGACAAGAAGCCGTGGGTGCTCCATGTCTCCCAAAGCTCTCTTCCTTTCCTGAACTTTGGTCTTCATCCTCCATTCTTAGATGGGCAGAGGATTGAAAAATCATACGTTCACATCATTCCTTTCATAGTGGTGGCCTTCCACGTCAGAACATTGCTTCTAACTGTGTTCATTCTAATAGTAGATATTTCATAGGAAGCTCATCTCTCAGTCTCTGAGCTGTTCATCTCTAGAGGCAAGGCCAAGGCAACAGTGTGCCCTGCTGAGATCTGCCAGGAGAGGGCTTTGGTTTCACTCATTCCTCATTCCTCAGTCAACGCAGTGTAGTATTTAGGGTTCTCGGTGATCTGACCCCCACCTGCCCTTCTGGCCCAATCCTTTGCAAGATTGTAAATTCCATGAGGATAACAAACGTGTCTTACCTCTTCATTCTCAGGACCCACCATAGGCCTGGCCCACAGCAGCTGCACAGTAGACACTGATGAATGAATGAATGAATGAATGAATGAATGAATGAATGAATGAACGAACGAACGAACGAACGAATATATGATGGAATGTGTTCTTGATTGTAGTATTTGGTTCACCATAGGGTTTATACATATGAAGTTGAAAGGATAATTATATTGACACCCTCTGTTTGTAAGCACTTTGTTGATTTATAGACCTTCTCACATGAGGATTAAGAGAGAACACAGGTGGATCACCTAGCACAGTATGGGTACATAGTAGGTATGGTCACTTCTAGTGCCTCATTTAAACAGTGCCCACTGTTTGAATACACACACACACACACGTGAACCTGTGAGAACAGCATTATCATCCCTCTTTTACCACTTTACATGATACTTAGTGAGTACTGAGCACCTCCGGGTACTGGGCACTCAGTAATCAGAAGGGATAAAGAAGTAAGAAAGTGTCTGTCTTTGTGAGCTCACATGCTAAGAGGAGGAAAGGGGGAACAGCAAACAAACAAATGAAGAGAAATCAACTGAGAAGACCCAGAAAATGTTAAGTATTCTTGCCCAGTGTCACAGCTGAAAAGTGATAGCATCTCTAGCTATGTTTTTACCCTAAATAACTTTCCCCACCACACCACACTGTTTAAATTAAGTGAGGCTCCAATTAGCTCATTATGTTGTGTATGAACAGTTCTGACTGTGGTCAGGACAGATGAGACCTTTGGCAAAAACTGAGACACATGCAGCATTTGTGCCTTTGGGTACTTTGCCTTACCTTTCCCAGTCAACTGGAGGGTCAGTGCAGCCTAAATTGGACTTCCATCCGTGTTTGCAAGGCTTGTGTGAAGACATGATGCAAACACAGATGCTCGGGGCCTTAGGAGTAATTCTTTTTATATAGCTGTGTTTATAGCAGTATAATAAACGGTTCTGTTAAAGCTATATTGGGTTGTATTATATGATTGGTGTGTAACTGTCTGTTCACTGTTAATCCCTGATAGACTCCCAGCCTCCCACGGAGGCAGGTATAACTTTGGATGAGATCACTAAGCATCCTTTAGTTGGCCCTGTGAAAGGAGACAACAAAATCGTCAGCGGGGACTTTGATGAGAACTGAGAGCTCATCTGTATGGGCTCTGTGCACCCCACTCCCCATAGCAGGTACGGGGCACATTTGTGGCTCCGTGTGCGAAGGCGAAGGAGCCCCGTGTCCTGAGAAGGGTCCGTGAGTCCAGCAGACCTGGATTCCAAACACCAGCCCTGCTACTCACCATTTACAACTTCGGGCAAGTTACTTCACGGCCCTAAGCCGTAAAGTGGAGATAATAATAGTTCTTACCTTCTGGAGTTAATTTTTGGAGAATCATTATTATTTGAAGAATTATTTAAGATAGTGTTTAAAAAAAGCACTTAGTATGCTACTTAGCCATAATATGGGCTCAGCTAGTGTGAGCTATTGTTATGATTATGATTAAAATACCCATTGGTGAGAGCCCTTGATATTAGCAGAGACATTTGATAGAGGCAAGATGAGATACGCCTTTCAGAAATGTCAATTGTACTTTTTAAATCTCGAACCTACCACTGACTGAAACAGTGTCATGATTGTCACGAGGCCAGGAATTTAAAAGATGGCTTTCAAATTATCGTCTGCCCTTCAGACAGTAATAACAATTTGTGCTGTCCAGTGTCTCACAGCATAGAAAGCTATTTCACACACACACACACACACACACACACACACACACTCTCACTCTGCAACAACAGCCCCGAGAGGCAGCGTGACAGGCTCCACATTATCCCGTTCACGCGGAGGCTCAGGGAGTGACAGCAACCTGCCTCAGCAGCACAGGTCCTGGAACACACAGGACACCAAGTGCGGGAGCCCAGGTCCAGCCGGGGGCCTCGGCCTAGGCCACTTCCCACACTCTGTGCTGCCTCCCCACAGCCCACAGCCCCTCCCAGCTGTCACCGCCCCTCCTGAAGTCAGTCTGAAGGCCAGCGATAGCACTTGGACAGTGGCTGTCTCCACACCCCCTGCTGTAGGCACTACCTCCCTAGGCTCAGTCCTGGTTCTGCCACGTGCTAGCTGTGTACCTTGGCAGGGCCCTTGACTTTTCTTGGCCTCAGTTTCTTTACCTGTGAAATAGTTAATGACAGCGCCTACGTCAGCGGGTTCTGCGATCATTGCATTCTCTAGTGTGCCCCCACGTGGAGGTGCTGCCCACAGGGAGCACTTCCTGTCTTGCCCCACCCCCCTTCCACGGGCACTCTTACTGAGTGGAGTGAAACCATTACTGAGTGTCGGGGACTCTTCACGTTCAGGGAGTGAGGGTCTTGGAATAGGCACCGGACTTCGTTTTGGAAGACCTGCTCCCCACTATTTGAATGGCTTCAGCAGGTGGCCTCCTTTCCCTGGCCCTCAGCTTCCTCCCAGGTGAACCGACCTGTGAGGATTCAATGAGAAAATGTAGGCGAAGTGGTGAGCATGGTGCCTGGCACAGCTCTGATGCCAGCGAGCCGTAGCGTCAGTCACGGCGTCGGTGCTCTTCGCTCCTGGCACGGCAGGGCTGGTCCAGAGCCTCCCCATCAGGAGCTGCAGGCCAGCAGACACAGCAAAGTACTTCCTGCGCCATCAGCACTGAGGCAGGTTGGGGGGATGGCAGAAATGGAGCCCTGCCATCTGGCCCTCCGAGAAGGAAGGCGGGCTCCTCCCCGAGACGAGCGTCTTGCTGTTCGGCACAGAGAACAGGACCGAATGGAGGCAGCTTACATCACGGTGCCTCGCACTCCACCACCCGCCTGCAGGAAGCTGACGAGTTCCCCAGCACTTCGCTTAGGTGTGTGGAAAGTGAGGTCAGGTTTTATGCAAGTGTTCACTCAGACCCCTGGGTTCCCAGCAACGTGGCTTCCAATCGCATGTCAGAAATCCCTCCTTAAACCCAGCTTCATTAATATGGTCTTCCTTCCTGACAAACCACACAAGATAGCTGCAGACCCCTGTGTCCTGGAAGAGCACAGGTTATACAGCCCATCCCCTACCCTCAAAACACTTCTATCCTTAACTCTGGGCCTAGTGGGACTTCACTTCCTCAGACTCGTGAGGGTGAAGGTGGTGGTGATGGTGGTGGTGGTGATGGTGGTGGTGGTGATGATGGTGGTGGTGGTGGTGATGGTGATGGTGGTGATGATGGTGAAGGTTGGTGGTGGTGAAGGTGGTGGTGATAATGATGGTAATGATGATGGTGGTGATGATAGTGGTGGTAATGGTGGTGATGACGGTGATGGTGGTAGCGTGATGGTGGTGGTGGTGATGATGGTGGTAATGATGGTGGTGATGGTGGTAATGATGATGGTGATGGTGGTGATGATGTTGGTGATGATTATGGTTGTGATGATGGTGCTGATGATGGTGGTGGAGGAGATGCTACTGCTGTTTCTTCACAGATGGGAAAGAATTGCAGAGGCGAAGTGACTTAAAAGTAACTCCACTCATTAGTGGCAGTTTGAATTAAATGCAGGCCCATTGTTACCAAGTGCTCAGCTCTTTCTCAAGCCCCTTTCCCATCCAAAGAGATGTCCTTGTCAGCAATCTTGTCTTTTTCCCTGACAAGCAACAGGACGGAGCATTGACTAAGGAGCTGTTTCTTAGTGCTATCACACACCAGGTACCGAACTCAGTGCTTTACAACCATCATCTTAGTTAGGGTTCCTAAGAACTCTGTGAAGGAAGTGTTACCAGTTCCATGTCCCCGCTGAGGAAATTGAGCTCACAAAGTTGACTCCCTTGCCATCTCCCCCCCCCCACTTCCCACCTCTTTGTAAGTGGAAGATCCTTGGAAGATCTGTGTAAACAGCAACGTACTGTAACCGTGCCTGTCTCTTGCCAAACTCTGAACTCCATGAGGTCAGCATCAGTTGATATCGCTAGCTAGAACATTAGATTCTCAGTGATCGTCGAATGAATGACTTACCCAGTGAGGGTCAAAGAGGAGGGAGGGCTACAGTAAAGGCTCTGCCCAGGAAGGTCCCAGCACACTATCAGACGGTCTGAGCTCTTCTCCCAGGACCCCCCGCTGCCTAGCACACTCCAGGGCTAAAACCAAACCTCTGGTTCCTTCTCCATCACTTCCCTAAACCAGCTTGTGTTAGTTACAGCCAGGTGCCAGCCAGTCAGAACCCCTCCCTGGCCATGAGCTGGCATCACTGCACCCCCTTCAAGCCACCTCCCCTAGGGAGCAGCCCTGCAGGGCAGATGCCTCATCAGCTTTGGATAGGGTGGGCTCATGCAGCAGCACCGCTGAACAAACTGACACCCCCATCTCTTCCCCATGTGCTTTCGTTGGCTTCTCATCCTCTTGGCTTGGAACTACTTCAGAAAAGGGAAGGAACTTAACCTCTTCGAAATGGTCCTTAAAATTGGAAACGCCTACCTTTTCCTCAG